CCCCCCCCCCCCATGGTGGCACGGCCCAGAGACTCATTGAAGATGGTCTAGCCAGTTCTCTAGAAGACTGGAATAGGCCTTTTGTTCTAAACCTCCAGAACTCTGATGTTTAGTCTCAATCAATAAGAAAAGGATCGAGCTGCAACAATCCAATCCATTACAAAAAGATTGTTGATATATTGGGGAGAAAGGAAGCTCTTTATGCAAAATCCAGCCATCAATATGGCAGAATTCACACATGAGAGCATTGAAGAATAAGAAGAGAGTTTACAGGAGGAAGTACTAGATTTTGCACCTGCAGCGCTAGATGACTCTTTACCAGAAGTGGAAGATCCATTACAGAAGATAAACTTAGGGACAGAAGAGGATCCAAGACCCACTTTTATTAGTGCACTGTTGAAAGAACCACTCAAGAGTGAAGTCATTGCACTTTTGCATGATTTTAGAGATTGTTTTGCTTGGCATTATCATGAGATGCCTGGATTAGACAGAAAGTTGGTAGAACACAAGCTGCCAATCAAAGAAGGCTACCTTCTAGTCAAACAGGCCAGAAGAAGAATGTCTATGGAGACAGAACTAAAAGTCAAGGAAGAAATAGAAAGGTTGCTCAAGGCAGGATTCATCAAACTAGCCATTTATGCTGATTGGCTAGCCAATATTGTGCCAGTTCTGAAGAGAAAAACAGGGGCAGTTAGGATCTGTGTGGATTACAGGAATCTAAATGAAGTATCCCCCATGGATGAATATGCTAGTAGATGGAGCTACTCATAACCAAATGCTATCTTTTATGGATGGCAACGCGGGATATAATCAGATTATGGTGGCAGAAGAAGACATCCATAAGACATCCTTCATGTGCCCAGGACATATAGGTGCTTTTGAATATATTGTAATGCCTTTTGGCTTAAGAAATGCAGGAGCCACTTATCAAAGAGCAATGAATTCTGTTTTCCATGATATGATAGGGCATTCTCTAGAGGTGTATATAGATGATGTGGTGATTAAATCCCCAGAAGAGAGAAATCATGTATCAAATCTAAGAAGGGCATTCCTAAGAATGAGACAACATAAATTGAAAATGAATCCCAAGAAATGTGTTTTTGGAGTTCAGGCAGGAAATTTCTTAGGTTTCTTGGTCAACCAAAGGGGCATAGAAATTGACAAGAATAAAGCAAAATCCATAACAGAAGCTCTACCACCTCGGAACAAGAAAGAGCTGCAGAGTCTCCTAGGAAAAATTAACTTTCTAAGGAGATTCATATCCAATTCTGCAGGAAAAATCCAGCCCTTCTCCTCCTTGCTAAGGTTGAAGCAAGAATAGACTTTTAAGTGGGAAGAACAGCACCAACAGGCTTTTGAGGAAATCAAGCACTACCTCTCAAATCCACTAGTTCTGTCCCCACCAAAGAGAGGCAGACCGCTCAAACTCTATGTGTCTGCATCGGAAGTATCCATTGGGAGTCTATTAGTTCAAGATAACAAGGAAGGGAAGGAACAGGCAGTCTACTATTTGAGCAGAACTCAGACATAAGTAGAAAGGAAATATTCTGCAATTGAAAGGCTTTGTCTAGCCTGTGAAACTCAAACACTACATGCTGCCATTCACCATCTACATCATTGCCAAGATAGACCTAATCAAATACATGCTAACAAGGCCGATGTTGAGAGGCAGAATTGGAAAATGGACTCTGGCTTTGACAGAATTTGCTTTCAGATATGTTCCTCAGAAAGCTGTCAAAGGACAAGCTGTAGCAGATTTCCTAGCCGATCATCCAGGAGAAGAAATTGAAAATATGGATTCTTTGATATAGCAAATGCAGATCTGTTGACTAAAGCTCATGCTTGCCTTAACAATCCCATCTATTCGATTCACCTCACACCTTGGAAGCTGTACTTTGATGGATCAAAAACTGATGTAGCCTCTGGGGCAGGGATTGTTTTGGAGGAGCCACTGGGGATCAGACACTGTTATTCTTTCCAGTTAGATTTCCATATGCACCAACGACAGGGCTGAATATGAAGCGTTAATCATTGGCCTCGAAATGCTGGTGGAATTAAGGATCCGGTCTGTGGAAATCCTAGGAGATTCTATGCTTGTGTTAAAACAGATTGCTGGAGAATACAAGTGTCTAAATCCTTCTCTAGCTGTCTATTTAGTGGCAGCCAAGAATCTTTTGACAGAATTCAGGGAAGCTACTTGGGAACATATCCCAAGAGAAGAAAACTTTGCAGCCAATGAATTGGCTCAGGTAGCAACAGGGATACAAATGCCTGAAAACTGTGTGCAAAGGATTATCAAGGTAGGAAAGAAAAGTCTACCATCTGTTCTGACCAGAGGAATGGAGATAGATGTCAATTCTGCCATAATCACTGAAGATGACTGGAGAATTCCCATCATAAATTACTTGCAGTATCCAACCCTGCCTTCTGAGAAGAGAGTCAGAATCATGGCTTTAAACTACCTTATGTGGAATGGAGATTTGGTCCGAAAAGGCAAAGATGAGGTACTGCTAAGGTGCCTGGGAAAGAAAGAATACATGAAGGTCATGGGAGAGACCCATGAAGGAATCTGTGGAGCACATCAAGGTGGAAGAAAAATGTGTTGGTTAATTAGGAGGTATGGCTACTTCTGGCCAACCATGATGAAAGATTGCATTGATTATTCCAAGGGATGTGAGGCTTGTTAAAGATAGCCTCCTTCAGTTCCTATGAATCCAGTAGTCAAGCCATGGCCATTCAGAGGATAGGCAATGGATCTCATTGGCAAGATCTATCCAGCCAGTAGCAAGCAGCATTGTTTTATCATTGTAGTTATAGACTATTTCACCAAATGGGTGGAAGCCAAGCCTGTTAAATCCACTACATCTCCAGAGATCATCACCTTCATAGAAGAGCAGATTATACAGAGGTTTGGCATTCCAGAATCAATCACAACTGACAGGGGATCTTCTTTCATATTTGGAGAAATGCTAGATATGGCAGAAGCATTCAAATTCGAACTACTTCAATCCACTCCTTATTATGCTCAAGTTAATGGGCAGGCAGAATCAAGTAACAAGGTGATCATCAACATTATGAGGAAAATGCTTGAGAAAAATCCAAAGCAGTGGCATGAGAAGTTATCAGAAACTCTATGGGCATATAGGACTTCAAAAAGAGAGGCAACTGGCATGATACGTATGCTCTAACTTATGGTCATGATGCAATTTTGCCTATGGAGATAGCAGTCCAATCTCTCAGAATTGCCCATCAACACAGTTTGATTGGAGAAGACTACTCTCAAGCCATGCTGCTAGAACTAGAAGGATTGGATGCAAGTAGGATTGATACCCTCAACAAACTCTTAGCAGGAAAACAGGCTGTATCAAGGGCCTACAACAAAAGAGTTAAAAACAAGAGTTTTGAAGAAGGAGAAATAAGTCTGGAAGGCAGTTCTGCCCCTTGGAACGCACATAGCTGGTTATGGAAAGTGGTCACCAATATGGGAAGGGCCTTTCATAATTAAGCAAATCCTCGGATTGGGGGCATACAGATTACAAGATCGAAATGGAGATGTTCATGCTGCACCAATCAATGGCAAATGGTTAAAGAAATTCTATCCAACTATGTGGGATTCGCAAGTTGTGCAGACAGATCCTGGAATAGAGAGACAACAAAATGAAACTGTTGTTTAAAATTCTATTCAGAATTTATTTTGTGATATAGTTTGTTAAGTACTTTTTATTTTTTCTGCTTTCTTTTATTTTGTCAAGAGAAATCAAAAAAATTCCACAAAAATAAATAACTTTTATTTAAATATAGTCACTCTCGTGACTAAATTGTTTATTACAGGTCTAAATTTAAAATTAAAACCCTAATTTCTTAATGGTCTCCTGCTAGCTAGCTTTCTTGATAGAAAGTTCATTTTGAAGCAGCACCCCCTGATGGATTGAAGCCTCTGCAATTTCCAAAGCTAGCTTGGAAACTGAAATCATGCTCTGCACGAGGAAGGTAGCCTTGGTCTTAGAACTCAGTCCAGCCCCGAGCCTGCTCTGCACCTCCCTGCATTCTACCAACTATTTTTTAAGCTCTTCAATTTGCTTCTCCAGCTTGTCTGCAATGGCTTTGGCCTCCTTGTATCCCGCAACCATTTGGTCTAGTTCGGCCATCTGTTTTGCGTAATCAGCCAAGTTGGCTTCATGAGTGGCCTTGTAGAACTCAGAGGTTTTGAAGGTGGGCTTGATATCCTCATAGCAGTCGTGAAGGTTGAGCACATCTCTGGCCAAACCGAGGCTCATCTCAAGTATAGGCTTAGGAGCCATGTTCTGTCTGTGCAGTAGGTCCAGATCCTTCATCAACTGGTCAACAGCCTCCCTATTTTCATCCAGTTCCAGCTTAGTGGATTGCCAGATCTTCACCCTCTCCATTGCCTCATTCACCACCTTGGACTTGGCCTTGCCATGAGTGGAACTGAGTTTCTCCAGCTTATCCAGCGGGGCATCTAGGTCCATGGCTTCAAACTCTACCAATTCTGGACCAGCAAAGGAAGCCGTGGTCGATAAACCTGGGAGGGAATGGATGGGCATCTGCAAAAAGGGATTGTAAATTAGCAACAGACAGAAGCAGGAAAGAAAGAGAGCCATGACACAGTAATACTTACAGCTATGATAGGAGGCTTCAGAGGACTGGTCATCACTGCCAATACCCCAGCAGATCTGGGCACTTCTACCTAGAAAGACTGATAGTTAGAGAAACAAGGACATGACAGAATTGCAAAAAACAGACAGAGATAAGATTGGAACAGGGAATTACCACAAGGCCAGTAACAGAAGCAGCTACCTCCACTTCAGATTCTAGGGCTACAACAGGAAGTTCTGCCTTTTCCACAGGCTCTGATGCAGATTGCTCTGCCTGCTCCTCAGATACTGGAACTGCAGTGGAGTGCTCTGCCTCTGCATCCTTGAATAGGGCCAACTCCGAGCTGGTCAGTTCTACCCTTAGGGTTTCTTGCTGCTTTTGCACCAAGGCAATGCTTTCTGCTATTACCTCAGCAGGAATCTCCTCCTAACAGATGAACAGAAGTCAGAAGTTAGAAGTTTTAAAAAAGGGGAAAACAAATACAAAATGATCATACAGCCAGAATAAAGTCTCACCTCATCTTCAAATTCTTTTCCTTTTTCTTTTGTAGGAACTTCTTTTTCTTTTTCTTCTTCTTGTTCCTTCTCCTGCTCAATAGCTTCAAAAGCCTCTCGCAGCTCATCATCAGTTCTAGAAGTCTCAGTTGGAGCAATTGCAGATTCTTCTATCTCATCATATTCAACTCCAGTCCTCTTTCTAAGTCTTTTTGACCTAGTAGGAGGGGGAGGAGGACTTTCAGCTGCACAGAACAAGATGGAGGTTAGAAGAACGGGCAGAGCAGAACAGATTCAAGGAAATAGTTAGAAATGTTAGAATCTTACCAGAAATTTCAGGCCGGGCAGCACTATCCTGATCAGGAGCAGTTTCTTTTCTTTTTCTTCTAGCAAAGGGAGTAGCCTCGACAGTTGGTTGTTTTGCCAGATTTTCATCCTCTTCATATTCAGAGGGAAGCTCCAAGTCTCCAGCAGCAATGACAGAGTTGACTGCACAGGAAATAAACGAAGTCAGAAGTCAATCTAGCAGAAGAATAATGGAAGGAACAAAAGGATGGAAAGCTTACCAATCACTTCTCCGCCCTGGACAGATTGTCCACCTATGTACCTTGTCAAAGAAGGGTTTGATGCAGACAGAACAAATTATTAGGCATCATCACA